ATATATATATATATACCTTTGATGAAGTTTAAATATAAATTAGGCACAGGAAGAGATTGACAACAACAATAAAATAGAGCAATTATAACAATATAGTGTAATAAAAGTTATGTGAGTGTGGTTTCTCAACATATCTTATTGTATTATATTCACTGTTCTTGTGATGATGTGAGATAACACAATGCCTACGTACTGATACAAAGTGAGGTCAGTATGCTGGACAGAGGGATGAATCATGTCTTGAGCCTTATGGTGAGAGATAACCATGCTACTCAGAATGGTGTGCAATTTAAACCTTATGAATTTTTATTTCTGGAATTTTCCATTTAATATTTTTGGGCTGTGGCTGACCACTGATAATTGAAACTATGAGTAGTGAAACCTCAGATCAGGGTTGGTGGGGGGCTGGAGTGGACTTACTGTATATAATTTAAATTGTTAATTTTTTTTTCAGGTTAAGAGGACAACTCTAGTGGATAGCAGAACATCCGTTACCGATGTGAAATTTGCTCCTAAGCATATGGGTCTTATGTTAGCAACCTGCTCAGCAGATGGTATAGTAAGAATATATGAGGCACCAGATGTCATGAATCTCAGCCAGTGGTCTCTGCAGCATGAGATATCATGTAAGCTAAGCTGTAGTTGTATTTCTTGGAACCCTTCAAGGTAAGCTTACAGAACAAACTGATAATGTAATTCTAGTAAAATAAATTGGTAATTTTTAAGCTAAGCTAAGTATTTGATGGTTTATTTTCTTAAAAATGCTTTTCTTAGTTTTGTTTTTTTAAAAATATATAATACATAGAATAAAAATTCTCTCTCCTCCAACCAGTCTTGTCTACCTATTTCTACTGAACAGAAAAAGCCAACCATTTAAAATATTTTGGTGTATACCTTCTGGTCTTTTCTCCTGAATGTACAAATACATATTTAATGCATTTATAAACAAATAAGTGCAAATAAACACAGATATATCTTGTCATGTACAGATAAACACAAAACACAGACATTTATAGACATACTTTTTTTTTTCCTTGCAGTTTGCCTTTTTAACTTAACAAATATGGGCATTTTCCCATATATTGGTATATCTAGTCAGTCCTACCTTATTCCCTTAATTGCTGTATAGAATGTGACCCAAAGACTATACCATAGTTGCTTTTTATTAAGCTATTTTTTAAAATTGAATAATGAATCACTTGGTAAAGAAAAAAGTTCAAATAATCTAGAAGAGTACAAAATGAAAAGTAAAAGTTCCCCTATCCTCTAACAACAAATGCTGTAATAGTACTGTTACTAGATTTTAATTCTGGTAGTCACTATTTTATTTTTTAATGATTTACTTTTATCTCTGGTTCTTGCTATACATCTATACTTACTATAAGAAAGATAAATTTAGCACATTTATAAAGTGTTCCACTTCTCAAGGTGTCACTAGCTATCTTGTTTGTGGAAATGCTGATAGTTGTTTTAGTTATATTGGTAATCATAATTTCAAAATGAAGTCTTGCTCTACTTGGTGATTTATCAATTTTTAGGCTATATATGGACTCACTTTTTAAAAGAGGAAATTAGCTTATTTTACTTCTACCTCACCCCTTCCATTTCCTAACATTTTGTTGTGTTGCTTGTATATTGACAAGATTTACAACATTTGTATTTACATTCTGTCATTTAATGTTTATGTTATGTTTTGATTGTAAGTTGATTCTAAAAATTAAGTAACAACCAAATTTGCAGTATTAGATTATGTAAATACTCATTATAGGTGCAAATGTAATCTGTTTTATGAAAATTTGTTCACACAGAATAATCTGGTGTTAACTTCTGATGGATGAATGCTTTTTTTCTTTCTCGATTTGTTTATTTCTGAGTTATACTTGGCTGTCACAATTTTCATATCACATATGTCTTTAGTTTTTGTGGGGTTTTTTTTTTTCCATTTTGGTGGCATACCTCCTAAAGTAAATTTTTTTTCATACAGGATGGATGGGAAACTCTTTGAATTCTAGATACCTGAAAATGTCTTCATTTTATGCCATGCTTAATTGTAGTTTGGCTAGTTTTAGAGTTCTAAGTTCAAAGTGTAAGAATTTCAAAGATACTGTTTTGTATCTTTTTAACTTTAGGTGTTGTTAATGAGAAGTCTGAGGTCAGTCAGATGTTGGTTCTTTTGTAGATATCTTGTTCTTTCTGAAAGTTTTTAGGATTTTTGTCTTATACTTTGAAATCTGTTGCAAGCATATTCTCTAGTTTGTGGTTTATCATTTTGACACTATGATGACTTTTATAGTCAACAGAAAGTTCTGAATTTTAACGTAGCCACGTTTATTAGTTGTTCCTTTATTGTTATGGTGTTGTTTTATGTTTTATTTGAGAAATTCTTTTCCACCTTGAGGTTGTCCAGTGTATTCTGAAAGGTTGTTGGTTTTGCCCTTCACATTTGGGCCATTAAGCTTCTGGGATTGCTTTGTAGGTTGTTTGAGGTAGTAGAATTTAAAAATTTAACCAGGGTGTTTCTAGGTATATTTTCTTTTAAAACATTTTTTATTAGGAAAAGTTTCAGATATACCAAAAGTAATAGTAGACGTACAATAGATCCTCAAATATGCATCAGCCAGCTATAATAACTCAGAGCTACTCGTATTTTATCTATATATACATGCCTTCTTCTGTCCCTTCCATCCCCAAAAAACTATTAAAGTAAATCTAGATGTATACTCTTAGGTGTTTGTCTCTTTTGATTCATCCTGCTTGATGCTTAATGGTTCTTTTCAAAATAAAAGATCTTGTCTCAAATTGGGGATATCTTATGATTCTTTGATAATTTATTCTCTTTTGTTATCTCTGTTTTGTCTTTCTGGAACTCATCTTTGATTTTTCCTGAATTTACTCTCTATTTCTTTAAAATTGTTTAGAGATTTACTACTCTATCTCCCAGATCTCCAGCTTCTTCTCCAGGCACATATTTTATACCATCTATTCATTTTTTAGGGGCTGGGGTGCAGTGGGGGATTGGCAATCATTTTTAATTGTTATGATGTCGTTTTCTCTGATTACACCTTCACCAACATAAAGCACAAAAATGCAGAAAACGTCGTGATAAAAGAGACTTGTTTTCAGTATGAGAGCTGAGACGAGATGGCAGAGCCTTGCTCTCTTCTACCTCAGTATGGAACACGTATGTCAGGCAACTCAGTATTTTTGCAGAGCTGCTTCAGGTATGTTTGTGAATGACTGTGAAAGCCCCAACTATCGGATTTTTGGAGTTACAAATTTTAGAATATAGGTCAATTTACAAATATAGAATCTGCAAATGAGGAGGATTGGCTATATCTGTTTTCTCAAAGATCTGTATATCTTGGTCTTTATCTTTCATGCTTCTTGTTTTCCTTAAGTAGGTATTAGTCTTGACTTTTCTATTTGTGTTTATGAACAAGAGACTATTATGGCTAGTAGAGAAAACTGGTATAGGTATTTTTCTCCTGTTAGGTGCTATGTTTTCTTAACAGCTTACTCTCTTACCTAGAGAGTTGGCTGTGTTTAATCTAATTAAGTGGTATGGGTTAGCAGGATTTCTTTGTTGGGAGTATAGACCAAGAAGGACCTGGCAGGCTGGAGAACCCCCAAACTGCCAAAGTCAGGAGGACTTGACTTTGGGGATGGAGCACTTTAATGTATTTTGCTCCTTGTTGTTCCTCTCCTTGCCAGTTTTGGAGTACTACTTTATTTCAAGTTCATATCACTCCTCTTAAGTTCTAAATCATCTGACTAGGGTTCTTCAGCAGAGTTTTTTTTAGCCTAGAGCAGTCACTTTCCAATCTTCAGGGGGTGCAGTCTTTTAAATGAATCACTTCATGATTACCTCATGACTCATTCCTGTTCTTTGCATTTGTTGATTAGAGATTGGAGCTTCTGGAATTTCCTCCTTACTGATAGTGACATGTGCTCTTTTCTCCTTTGCATTTTTTCTCTCATCTCCTGCTTCCTGTCTCCTTGGAATTCTTCCAAATTTCTGGATTTCTGATGATACACTCTGATTTCTAGCACTGTTGTGGTATTCTTTCATCATTTCCATGGAACCTTAGGGGAAGGGAACGCAGGTGCTGTCTACTATAATATAAAGAGAGTTGGATGGTTTTTCTCACTGTTTAGGTTTGAATCATGTGGAAAATGGTCTAAATGTGAACATCTTATTTCTGGATGTCCAAATGAGGTAATCCTCAATTCAGTTGTTACCTAGATGTTTTATGATTTGATTTTGAAATGTTTTAAAAGATATTTTCAGTAAATTTAGAATATGTTACTGTCAATGTACTTTGGTCCTCTCAAATATTTAGCATTGTTAGAAAGTTATATTTGTGAGATATAGAAACTGCTGTGGAATTACATCTCTTTAAATGACCAACAATTGTTATAAAGAACTTGTAATTTTATTTTATTACTATAGTACTTTGCAGTTTACCTGAGATTTTTCTTATACTAGGTGACATACGGGAGGAACAAACTTTCCTCCATCCTCAAGGCTCTTCTGACTGGTCTAATAATTAAATAGACATGAGACAGATTAGCAAAACAAAATAACCAAATTTATTACATACATATGTATGGGAACCTCACATACACGAGCAAGTCAGAGACTCCACATGTACAAGAGATTGAAAGATAGAAAAGGAAACATGAGTATATAAGACATCCTGAGGTAGGGATGAGGCAGGTGCCTTGAGTACTTAAAAGTATCATTGCAGAATGATAAGAAGAAGTAAATAGTAAATAAAAGTTTGCCCTGCCTATAGATAGATCAAAAGAAGTTATCTCTTCAAATTGACATTCTTCTAGGTAGCTGGGGAAGAAGTTTCTCTTAGGCCAGAGGCTAAAGTTGCCTTTAGCTCAAAACAGTCTGCATACCACAGAGATGCATCTCGGGGTGACTCATTCTGAACACCCACAGTGACTTGATTTATTATCAGAAGCTTTAGTAATAAAGCTTTAGTAATAAAGAACTAAACTAGTTCTTTTTTCATTACCATATTTTGTTTTCAGCTTTACAAGTTGGCAGATCACAGTACCAAGAAGGTCAAAGCTTAAACAAGGGTGTCATAATCAGAGATATTTCTTAATCTATATGAGGGAGGCAAAGGAAATCAATATCTAGGTAATTAGGCATAGAAACAAAAAACATCATTTAACCTAGAGTTCAGTAGAATTCATCTTCTTATTGCTTATCTTTTGCCTTTTAAAAATGAGTCTAAAGAAGAGAATGGCATGTGGGGAGCATGCCTCTCTGAGGAGTGTTCTTTTTCTACGTTTCTTTCATCAGAGTCTCTCTTTCTCTCTCTCTCTTTTTTTTTTTGTACAAAGCACTTAAAATCTTTTCTGTCCTGAATTCGGTCACCGTAGGGTTACCTTTTCATTCCAGGGTTAATGATCAAATCTTTCCAGAAGAAAAATTTAAAGGCCTTATAGGTGGGTTATTTATTTAAAAAAAAAAATCTTTTGTGAAAAAAGCTACTTTCTTTCTCCACTATAAGAAAATGTGGTAAAAACAATGCAAAAGGATGGTATCTTCAGTCTCCATGTTGAGCATTCTCAAGGATACACCCTCCCAAGGTGTTGCTGTGTTGGATGTATGGCGGAATTTAATCACACTAGTAGTGTCTTGCTGACTTGCGGATTGTAGACCTGCTTAATGCCAGTATTTTTTTAATTCTCTGAATTAAATGTATATTAGTTTAATCATTATGTAAAACATTTTTTACTCTTTATTTCTAGCTCTCGTGCTCATTCCCCCATGATAGCTGTAGGAAGTGATGATAGTAGTCCAAATGCAATGGCCAAGGTTCAGATTTTCGAATATAATGAAAACACCAGGTGAGTACTGCTTTGGTTTTAAAATTGCTCCAAATTGCATTTAATTTTTAAAAACGTTATTGCTTTATTTATTAACTGAATTATGTAGTATTCATTACATATTATCTGACTTTTCTATGATATGCCACATTCTGTAATAGGCTGTGATAATATAAAATTGAACGATATAGAGAACAAGGTAGTTGATTTCCTGATATGTACCATCTTGTGAGAAAAACAAATACAAAAAAGTGAAAAATGGTGATAAATTTTATAAACTAGGAGAATTGGGATGTTAACAGCTTATACCTGGGGGGGAGGGGGCTAGGAAGGATCACCCAAAAGAAGACCTATAGGATGAGTAGAATTTAGCCAGACAAGGAGGGTAAAAACATTCCAGATGGAGAAAACTGCATGAGGTCCATGAATAAGAGAGAGCCAATATATTTCTTACTGTGGTTGGAACATAACAGGCAAAAAGAAGTGTGATGAGAAATATACAAAGTTTATATCTGCAAGACTTAGTGTTCAATGTTTAGGTTTTTCCTTAAGTGTAATATGAAGCCATTGAAAGATATTTAAGTTGGGGAATAACAGGGACAAATGATAGTTTAATTCTTCCATAGATGTGGAAAGTATTTTGGAAGGGAACATGAGTAGATTCAGGACTAGAATGCTGTGATAATAGTCAGGTGGGAGATTATAGTGGCTTTGGAATAGAGTAGTGATAGTGGGGATGGAGAGAAGTAGACAGTTTGAGAATAATTTAAGAAGTGGTATCAGTAGGGTCTAATGATTTGGGAAGTGAAGAAGAAGGGGCGAGCCATCCAGATGATTTCCAAGGATCTGGCTTAATAGTTAATGGATAATGTGTAATTTCTTGAGATAAGGAACACTGGAAAGAGGGTAGATTTGGGTAGAGTGTATTAGCATGGGAAAATCTAATTTTGGTCATGTTAAGATATCTCTTAACACCTCAGAGACATAAACATTGTGTCAGAGGTATACTCAGAGTCTTATGGGAGAAAAGAGCACCTGTCAGGTGACTGGGTGGGCTTCACATGTGCTGGACAAAATTCTTGGGTCTAGTTGTCAGATACTGGATGAGGTCTGAAATAGAAGAGAATTATAATTCTCATAGGCTCTGTAATTTAGAATGTTACTACTTGGGTTTTTAGGGGGTTCTTATATTTGCCTTCTACCTTCCTAGATTCTTGAATTTTTCAGAGAGGCTCTGTCTACAGTGGTGCTGTCCAATAGAACTTGCTGTGATGATGGAAATGGTCCATATTGGCACATCTAATGCAGAGGCCATTAGCCACATGCAGTTATTGAAACTTGAAATGTGGCTACTGCAACCGAGAAACTGAATTTGTTAATTTTTATCAATTTAATTTTAAATAGGCACATGTGGCTAGTGGATACTATATTGGCCAGCACATTTCTAGAATATAGAAACTTTCCTCTGTAACTATTTTTAAGATACCAAAGCTATGAACCACATTACCAGCACATTTTAAAGAGGCTTCATGAAGAGCTATTATTGTTAATTTCTTTCAGCCTTAGCTGAACAGAGTGAATAATGAGCCATAAATCTAAAACTTAAAAGGTGGACCATTTCTAAAACAACATAGGAGAATAAAAAGTACTTCATCAATAATATTTGAATGAAAGGATAAAGAACTTGCATTTAGTTCTGAAGAAAATACAGGGCAGGTAGAAAGTACCTAAATACTTAAAAGAATCCAGTGATAAAGATAATCTAAAGTTGTATTTGAGCTGGGAGAATAAATCTAGATTAGGGACTGGATCCCCTGTACTATTTCATATAACAAAGAGCCCAGAGAAGTTCTGGGGTTAGTTAAGTGTCTCAGTTGCTCAGTGATGTTATCAAGGGCCTTTCTGTTTTCCATTTTTTTTGCTGTCATCCAGTGTGTTAGCAACAGTTCCTTCTTAGGATCCAAGAGTTTCAGGTTTCACGTGCAAATATAAAGAAGGACATTTCCTTTCATAAATCTTTTTGTATTAGGAAGAGAAACTTTTCTAGATGCATCTTTGCAGTCTTTTACATTGGGTCCTTCTTGCCAGAATTGGGTCACTTACCCATGCTTTAGCTGGAAGGGAGTCAGGCAGCATGCGTCTGGCATTTTCTGAGTCTAGAATGATGGGGAAGTGGCATTGGTTAGGTAACTCTGTGTGTGTGTGTGTGTGTGTGTGTGTGCGCGCGCGCGCGCACGCGTACGCGTGTGTGGTGGGGAGGGATTAGGAAGTTATTAGACCTTTTTGAGTTCACCTATTGGATTTTGTTTGGTCTGATTCTTTGAAGTAAGTTGTTTAACAGATTGAACATGTTACGTGGAAGATATGTGATAGTAGACTATGAAGCATTCAGTTATAACTAATCGATCTTTTTGAAAGTAGTGACACCTTTTAATACACAGGAATCATTGGTCAAATTAACCAATATTGGATATTATTTGTTGGCGACTTGATAATGATACAAGTACCCTGCATTTATGTAGGTTTCAGGGCATTTTCACATATATTATGAAATTTGAATGTTAACAATCATGAGTAGGGTAGGTAGCTTTTATATTAGCACTATTTTACAAATGAAGAAAGTGAGACCAGCAAGGTAAAATGACTAGTCTAAGGTCAAATAGAGGAGTCAAGACCACATAGTAGAAGCAGGGTGTAGATGAGATTGTTCAGGGTGATGTATAGGATGAGAAGAGGTCAAGAAGGGAGCCTCGAGGTGCATACTAGCTTGGAGATACTTCAGAAAGAATGTTGGGATGAAAGGAAGGCCAAGTAGAGAATGTTGGGAACACTAGTATTTCGGAGGAGGATGGTGGAAAGGTGAGATAGGAACATCTCTCTAACCCCCTCTCCAACACGCAGCGCTTCAGTTCTGTCCACATAGTCACTTGAAGACATAGAAAGACATAATGGAAAACTCTGATTTGCTATCTCAATTGTCTTCTTATTCTCTATTTGCAGATATAAAAATAGAATTGTAATGATGAAAGTAGACTTTGGTATAGATTACTTTATAACCACTAAAAAGCTCTGTTCCTGCTTTTTTATTCACACTCAAATACTCAGGAAATTCAGTTACCCTTTTCTTAAAAAAGATAAATCAAGATCTTACTCTAATTTAGTTTTTGTTAAAGTGTTTTGAGCTAAACTTAAAAAATCAGCCGAAGAAACCTGGCTGCTTATATAGGTTTCCTAGAGCTATGGTAACAAATCACTGCAAATTGGTGGCTTAAAACAAATTTATTCTCACCTTGCTAGAGGCCAGAAATCTGAAATCAGGGTATTGTTAGGGCTGTGCTTCTTCTGAAATCCTACCTTGTCTCTTCAAGCTTCTGGTGGCTACAGGAGTTCCTTGGTGTATGGCAGCTAATTCCAGTCTCTACTTCTGTCTTCTTATGACCTTCTTTTCTGTGTCTCTGTTTCTCCTCTTGTCTTTTATAAGGACACTCAACAGTGGATTTAGGGCCTGCTGAAAATCCAGGGGATGTTCTCAGTTTGAGGTCTTAATTATATCTGAAAAGATCCTTTTTCCAAATTAGGTCAGTTTCAGATGTTAGGATTTCGATATACTACATACTGCAGAGGTCAACACTACTTCATTGTGAGCAATATAAAAAAAGTTGAAGTACCTCAACATGTGGATTTAAAAATTTTTTATTTCTGCAATTTTTAATGTAAATTGTTTTCTTTGTTAGGAAATATGCAAAAGCTGAAACCCTCATGACAGTTACAGATCCTGTCCATGATATTGCATTTGCTCCAAACCTGGGAAGGTCTTACCATATTCTGGCCATAGCAACCAAAGATGTGAGAATTTTTACATTAAAGCCTGTGAGGTGAGTTTTCAAAAATTACTAATTAGAAAGTGTTCTTAACTCTTGATTATTTTCATTTGTGGAGGAGAATGTAGAAGAGGCAATTGATCTGAAGAATGGGTTTGTTAATGAACATTTCATTTATAAATATATGACTATTGGGCATGAGGAATTGAGTAAAGAGAAATTCATGTTTTCTTAATTGTGTTTTATTTAGACTTATACTAACAATGAATTATATCCTCAATATAATTGGTACTCTATACATGTTTGAATGGATGAGAAGTGGCAATCTAAGGGAAAATTAGCAGAGACATTCTTGTGAAATGTCTTGTGAAAAAGACATTCTTTTTAGCTTTAATTTTGGAATTGTGAGTTTTAGTTCTTTCCTTTTTTTCTTCCCTTTTTTTTTTTTTTTTAAATAAATGTATTATCTATTTTATTCCTCAGCTTTGGGGGAATAAAATCCTCTTGTAGCTTTCTTCTATGAAAGTCACTGATTATCTTTTATTCAGTGGTAGGATCATGTTAGGTACTGGGGAGTCAAATGAACATGAAATGGCCCAATGAGCTAATGGGGGGTGGTGGTATGGATATGCATATTACTATAAAATAATAAGTAGGTGAGACCATTTATATATATGTTTTTTGTTTCAATGGGAGGGGGAGAAAGGGGGAGAGAGGGAGGGAGAGAGAGAGAGAGAGAGAGAGAGAGAGAGAGAGAGAGAATGTGTATGTGTGTGTGTGTATGTGTGTGTAAGTGTGTGTAAACCTTTTCGCAGAATTCTTCAGGAAAATTTTTTTAACAGGAAAGAACTTACTTCCTCTGGTGGGCCAACAAAATTTGAAATCCATATAGTGGCTCAGTTTGATAATCATAATTCTCAGGTCTGGCGAGTGAGTTGGAATATAACAGGAACAGTGCTAGCATCTTCAGGCGATGATGGCTGTGTAAGATTGTGGAAAGGTAAGATTTCACATATATTGCCTTATATTGCTGTTTTAGAATTTTCACTCAGAAATGTAAACTAAGTATTTTGAAAAAGATGATCTTTCCACAGTTACTTCCAAATTATATCTTATATTAATTTATGTTATTTTGAACTTTCATCATTTTACCTAGTTCACAGCAGTTAATTACCAGTTGAGTTATTTTTTCAAGTTCCCATGTCAAACAAAGCAACTTTTAAAACTAAAACTAACAGAATATGCAGTATCTTTAAGATAACTGTTTGCTATATTGCACAGATGTTTATCCACCTGGTAGAGGTGTCCTTGTGCACTACAATAATCAGTGTATCCCATACTTAGGATTCAAAATTATAGATTAGTTTATTTACCCTAAGCAGTTATTATTTTGCTCGATGCAGTTTGGTGGAGTACCCTGGTCAATTTTTGGCTGTGTTAGCAGCAGCCCCAGATCTCCATTAAGTGTAACTTGATTTCGTGGGCTTTGCTGCCCTTTCCTGCCTCTGGGCTTTAGTGAACCATGCAGTTCCACCCTAGCAGGTTCCATAACTTGGGTTTCCTGGGCTCAGTGTCTCCAGTGATTAATTCTGCATTCAAAGAATTAGGCCTTGTTGAATAAGCCACTCAAACCCAAAGGTTTTGTTACCTATATCCATCTCTGAGGACATTAGGTACCCACATGACTTATACTTACATAACCAAGAAGACAACTCCATTACTCTACATATACAAGTAATTGAATTTCATTATAATGGAGACAAAGAATTTATTTTGATACGAACAGTATAATGCCACGGCTTAGAGAATTGAATTTGTTAATATATATCTCGTATGGAAGGGAAATGGATGGTGAAAGCTTTGTTTTTTAAATTAGTAATTCTTTTCAGACTTTAAAAAATAACCATTAAAATTAAGATATATATATATATATGAATGTCTTTATCGTTTATTTTGAAAGAAATGTAACCTTATAGGTCTCGTTTGTCGTTTAAGCACATGAACATAGATTAGTGCCTTTGACCATAGGTATTAGTCCATAGGTATTAGTCGTGTTAATGTATTTGACCATTTTCCTTTCAGCTAATTATATGGACAATTGGAAGTGTACTGGTATTTTGAAAGGTAATGGGAGCCCTGTCAGTGGGAGTTCTCAGCAGGGAAACTCAAATCCTTCCCTAGGTTCAAATATCCCAAATCTTCAAAATTCATCAAATGGATCTTCTGTTGGCAGGTAGGCTGATTTATGGGAAAACTAGACATTATCTTCCTTTTTAGATCATTCTGGTAACCATAATAATGTGTTATTTCATGGATTTTAAGATTGAATGAAGAAATTCCACCCATAATTATGACACTAGAAAAAGTTTTCAATTCACATTCACTTTGTTAGTTCTGTGTTTGCCTTACTTAGTCATATTTACAGGTAGATTATAAGGCCATTAAACAAACTAAATTATATTCTGAAATTTAGTGATCAGAAATGTTTATAATTTTAAGATTTTACTTTGCTTTTGATGTATGAGATGAAGAGGAAATATGAGATAATATTGAGGATTTTAGTTTCAGATTATTAATGTGTTAGTGCTGGCATTGTAGCCTTTGAATGGGGTTAAACTGAAATTTAAAATAAAATACATTTGTTAAGGCTTTGTAGAAGAGAACAAGTTAAATTATTATTTTTTGTTTAAAACTAATGGAGATCATAAGAAGAAATGGAAAATTCTGAGCTCTTGATTTTTTAGAATTTTTAACATTTTAAATTCTTACTTAAAGAATGTTTGATGTGCTCTAAAAAGTCATGCTTTTGATTTCATATTCAAATTTTAAATATGTGAATTTGTAAGATAAAATTATTTTAACATACCTTTGTGAGTAATTTGGAATACGATCAGGAAACTTCAAAGCACAACCTTAATTGTCCTGTGGTTATCTTACTGTCCTCTTAAATAAAAGAATTGTATTTAAATTTTTTTTAACTGTCTTTATATTGTTATATTTTTATAAAGAAGTCCTGTTATTTGATTTTGAGGTTTAAGTATTTGCATGAAAACTATTTCAGGTTCCCATAGAAGATATCAGATTATAGAGATGGTTCCATGAAGCAAAAGATACTATTAAAAAAGAAAAAAAATTGTTTTTTGGTTGTTACCTATACTGCATATTTTCTAAAGAGCTTTGAAGTTTTGATCTGTATTCTTATTGTGCCAGTAACCATGTGTGTTAGATCTGTGATGCATTTTCCCTTCTCCATTTGTATTATGTCCTTTAACAGAAAGCACAGCTGAGTACCAGCTAACTGGAGTAACTTTGCTGTTTTGCTGCTTGTTGCATGCACACAGGAATGGAGAGCGAGCTCCTTTTCCCCTTCCCCAGCGCCATTTGACCTCTCCCAAGATACACCAGCAGCCTGCTTACTACTAAACGCAATCCAAAAGGCCTTTAAAAATACAATGTATATCATTTTTTTGTACTAGCCAGTCTATTGACACTATTTGAAACCTTTGAAAATATAAATGGAGAGGCTTTTTGTTGAGACATTGTCACCAAAACAATTTTTTGAAATGTTCCTGAAATTTACCTGGGTTTTAAGATTAAAAGAATTGTTACCATCCTTATAAGTAGTTGGGAGGAGGGAAAATACCACTTTATTCTATTTGGAGAATATAGGCTTATTTTGTTTTCTAAAACAGGCTAAAATGATGAATTTTTATAATTTTAATTTGAAGATTAAATATTTTTCAAAAAGATTGTTTTGAGTGCTAGTTTACCTTTTGTAGAATTGGTTTATAGATGATATTCAGTACAACTCTGTCATTTCTTTGTAATATTTTAAAAGTATTAGTAATGGAGAGAAGTAGTAGTAAAGTAACAGAAGTGAGGGAAGTAGTAGTAAAATTAAATTGTACAGTTTGTAGCCAAATTAAATATTTGGTATTGCTTCATTTATAATTTGGTAGTAAAATGAAAGTACTTTTGGGAGTTTTCAGTTTATATTCACTAAAGAGATAAATGTTTCTAATATGTGCTTATATGTTTTTGTGGTGTGATTCCATGGCTTAAGATTTCCTTCAGGTCAAAATTTGGAAACATACTATAAGAGCAGCAGTTAAAATTTTGCTGAAATTGTGCATGCACATTCACTTCCACATTCCATGTCCCAGGATTTTCTTTAGTTGGCTGCTTCATTTAGTTCATAACCTGTAGAACTCTGACCTCGATAACAAAGCTTTAAATCTTTACTAAAATGCATAAGTATTACGGGTAAGTTATAAAATGGTAGAATAATAATAGGACATATTCTTTGAGCCTTTTTAGTTATCAAAATTTTGTTCTGTTCTAAGGTTTTACAGAAAAATAGCTAAGAGTATTCAAAGACTGTATTTCTTCAAAAGCATATTGCAATATCTGGCCATGCTATGTAAAAGTATATTTGAATTGGTTCTTAGTATCATGTTTGCACTAAAAAATGTACGTCTGCTGCTGCTACAGATGAACATTGCTTAGAATAAAGAAAAAGCTTATTAGATTTATAAATTTACAGGACTATCAAATGTTTTGGAGAGGTTAGAAAAATGTCTTAAATTATAAAATTAATGTCTTTTTTGTAACATACTGGTAACTTTTTAAACATTTTAAGTTTAACAGATTGTATTTTTTTCTTTCAAATTTTTATGCTTGCTTAAGCAAGCTTGATTTGAGTAAGGGTCTTGATTTTTGCTATTATGTTGTTAGTTTTGGCATGAATATACTAAAGCTTTTTTTTTTTTTTTCCAGCATGTGTTTTCTCCTCTTTGGTTCTCTTTGTATTTACTACTTTTCTCTTTTTCTTCTGTGGTTTTTTTTTCTTTTTTGTTATCTGTTGTTTTGTTTTGGTGTTTTGTTTCTGTCTTCATTGTTTCAGGTATTTCTTTACCCCTCTGGATTCCCCACAGGCTGGATCGAGATGGTCCAGTTATGCCCAGCTCCTTCCTCCTCCTCCTCCTCCTCCTCCTCTTCCTCCTCCTCTGGTAGAGCACTCTTGCGATGCTGACACTGCCAACCTCCAGTATCCTCACCCTCGCAGACGATCTCTCTCTCGGCCTCTTAATCCCTTACCTGAGAACGAAGGGGTTTAAAACTGACTTAACACTTAAAGGCCTTATTCCAGTGCTTTGTAGATGCTTTCATTCCTGGCTTTTTGTTTTTCATTTTCTTTCAGAAGATTTTTCTGATTTAGGGCCTGTCTTACATGTATTACAACCAGAACACAGTGTTTGGAACCTAAATGTTTGTGCTTCTGCATCAAAGGAACATTTTCTTTATTGGTTGGTAACCTTTGAGGAAATAAGATATGTACATGTTACATTAACTGTGAGAGTTACACCCAGGAGCTTCAAAGTGCCTGTTCTGTAAATTTTATTTTGAACTATTACCATGGTGTTAAGTTTCTTATAGTTTGTCATACTGGTTAATGTGAAAGCATATCATTATAAAGTTCACTCTGCCTTTGAGACATATTAAGAAATGTTTTTAATTTTACAGGCTAATGTTGAAATTTACAAGTTTGTAAAATAAATCATTCCTGTGTATAAAGCAGCAAAACATAATATGGAGTATTTGGTCTTTTTTTTTTTTAAGAAATTGTTTTCACTACTTGAAATAACTGTTTAAAGCTTTTGTAATTATTCTCCAAGTAGATTATTTAATAAAATATATTTTAAAATATATGAATATGTTGTCTTATAAAAACAGAATATATTGTTTGATTATTGGTAAAGCTTGTATCTCCTTAAATATCATGTTGCTAAAAAAAAAAAAATCCAAACAAAAAATAAGGAATGGGTATGACATTTAAAAGATAGAAAGTCAATTTGTAAACTAAAATGTAGAACTGACAGCTGTTGACTTTCAATCTAATTAGATAACATTAGATTACTTTCTAAAATGATACTTTTAAAATTTGAAAATAATATACTTGGAAATAATGGTAAAATGACTAAAATCATGGAACTAGTAATGTTCTCTTCAGTTTAGTTTTTTCAGGAATTGTCAAGGATTTTGACTTTGGGGCTAGAGAAAGATGTAATTTGAGCAGCATTTCAAATGTATTTATCAGATATTGCTATAACCATATAATTTATAATCTAATTTTCAAAGACTCCTTTCCTGTGAATAGTCATACCTCTAGAGCTTAACATGCAAAGGATAAACAGCTGATAAGATATATTGTATTAATTTTAAGATACATTTGAGGTTTTTTTTGTGTCTAATCGTTAAAATGTTTTGTCTGTAAAGTTAGCACTTTAGCTTTCCAATGTAAGAAAAAGAATCCTTTCCAAATAATTCTCAAAAGGTCTTCCTTCTGTTAAAGGACTTGTAGATTTGTAGACTTGCTTAGGTTCAGAGCAATGGGTCTAACTAAGGGCCGAATCTAGCTCAAAATTAAGAATTTACATCTTTGAGATTTTAGTCATAGAGGTGTTTGAGGTTAGAATGGGATAATGAATTGAGACAGATTCTCACTCCAATTTTGTGAATATTGAGCATCTTCTGTGTGCAGGATACTGTACTAAACATTGGGATATGTAAAAAATAGGTAGTCTGCACACAAACTTAGTGTGAGAAGGTATTTACAGAATTTACAAAAGATAATGAGAATTTAATTAGGTTGAAACAGTATAGTAGGCATAAAAAGAAGTGATTTGTTTGAGCTGGAAGGGATGTGAGATTTCAACAGGTGGAGTTATTGAAACAGGAGGATAAGAGTTTAGGGTGATGGTCTAGAGTTGATAGAGGACAAGCGTGTGTGTTCAGGCAACAAAATGAAGGATTAGTCTGATGAAAGAGAAAGGTTCATTTGGTGGGCTAGTGAGAGATTAATGTGGAATCATACCTGTGGTTACATTGTAGAAGGCTTTGGACAGTTGCAGCTGAAGTGTTACCACTTAAAGCAGTTGGTAAAGGGAGCTATGGGAGATGTCTGCTTTTTCTTAACTGGGTATGCATCATTTCTAATTCCCGGGAAGGCACCATTGGCCATGGGGCTTCTGCAAGCTCTACTCAGTGTCTAAGGAGATTTGGAGGGAGTTCGATTCCTTTTCAATTGGCAAGTAAGATTAGATAATAGCTAATATTGAATACTTCCATGTGCCAGTGCTTTTCTAGATACCTTATGCAAACTAACTGGTTTAATTCTGACAGCAAACCTGAGGTAAGTTTTCAAATTATCCTCATTTTACAGATTAGGAAACTGGCAGGTTAAAGTCATTTGTCCAAGGCTGCACAGCTAGGGAGGGAGTCAGGATTGAGATCTAGGCAGTCTGGCATTAGAGTCTAGGCTCTCTTGCCTGCAGATACTTTGGATTGTAGATCCCTTTCCCTAAAGTCCTGCCAGGTTGCTGGGTGTGGTGGAGAGAGCATTGGTCACTTGATTTTTTTTTTATGAAGGAGATTTATTGAGTTGGATACAAGAGATACAGGGTGAATGACAGTCTGGAACATACAGATACATTCCAGCAATTCACCCCTTATATGTGGCCATGATATAGATAGAGGAGTTAAAATACCCTGTGAAGCAAGGGTTGCTCATTATATTCAAATGGCATCCTTTCAGTTAAGTATTTGGTTTATTTTTCAGGATTCAGAAAATCTTGAGTTTTCTCCACTCTGTTCATTGAGTGTGGTCAAAGGTAGAATAGGGGTAATTACACTTTGCAAGGCTGGAAGGTTTCAAGAAGAGATGTCCAGAGAACTGTGGAAACATGACTGAGTTTGACAAGAAGACCTAATAAAACAAGTGCTCAGGACCAAGCTGATAACATGAAATGAGTGACAAGGTGTGAAAGTGGAGGCAGGTAAGGGTAGAGACAGAATGGTCTTCCGATGATAGAACATAATCAAAAAAGGGTGTTTTTTTTGGGGGGGGGGATGGAGATATGCAGCGTTTCTAAAGGCAGGAACCAGTGGGTATCCAGGAATGATAGTTGAGCAGGAGATAGTGATCAAATGAACATGTTTTTCCCACCAGGCTAAAATTAGGAGTAGGACTTTGTGTTTTTCCTTTTCTCTCCTCCCAGGTGCACCATGCATCTTAAACATTGAATAATAGTTGAATGAATGAAGTTAGAGTTAGCTTTGGAGAAGAGGGACTCCGTTCCCTCTGAAACGCTATGGAAAAAATTTTGACATAAAGGAGAGTGAAAGGTGTGAAACTATCACCTATATGGTTTCAGTAAAGTAATAGTTAAGGCCTTGTGCTGAGTAGCTGTGGGTGATAGGATTTGTGGTGAGGATAGGAAAACGCAGGAAGTTAGCTAGGGATGAATTATGTCTCGTCGCCTCACCACTTTCCACACCAGACCAAGCTTACTTCACAAAGGCTATTAGGTGTAGCAAACTACTTACCATGAAGCTTGGATCCCGAGGAATGATTTCCTAATTGGAGCTTATTAGCACTGTGTAACATAAGGCAAATCACAACGCATTTCAATATCTGCCAAACGGTAGTAAAAAAGATCTGCGTTCGCTCATGTAAGGACAAGAAAGCGGCAACGACACCGAACTTGGTGGTAGTACCACACGATTTGTTCACCAGAAATATTTCTTCATGTAGATGGCGAGTGACGGCGCTTCGGAATCCCAGATTCAAGGTAAGCATTATTTGCAAGTTGGCCAAGGCTTTCCACGCGGCACCTTGGGTTCGGCTGTAGCGAGAAGGCCTCCGCCCGGTCTCAGGCAATGCCGAACTCCTCCTCCAGACCTGCCGAACGCGGCTTCCTCGCTTCAAACCCGAGGCGCGCCGCTCTCACCCAATCATCGGGCTCCTGCTCGCCCCATCCCTCGCGCCGTCCAATTCAAAGCCGTCCTCGACCTTCGGCTCATGCCGCAAACTGCCGTAAACGTGGGCGGTGCGCGGTACGGTCGGTTAGGGCGGCCGCGCGTGCGGAGGCTACGCGCACGCGCATTTACAGCTCCGCCGCGACTCGGACTCAGACCTTTGGTTGTGTGCTTGTGTGCGCGACTCCTGAGGCTGGGGTCCCGGGCTCGGTGAGGAGGGTCGCTCCGTGTCTTGGTGTGCGGTTCGGTGGGAGCCAGACGAATCCACTTGGCCGGCGTTTCTGCTGCCGCGCCGGCGGGGCAGTGCCGGTTGGACAGGGGCCGGGCTGGTGGTTAGCGAAACGCGAGCCGGAGTCGCGCCATAGCTCCGGGTCCAGCCGTTCGCACCGGTCCGGCCGCCACGGCGAATCCCGCTTAGTAAGTTTAATTGTGCTTTTGTGCCCGAGGCTCTTGGCCAAGCGTGGGAAGTTGACTCTGACCCGCGCGGTGTGTGCATCTGGTGTGTCGTGGTGAGCGATTCTGGTTCTCTTCTTTGTCTGAAACTCTGACCCAGGAAATCACATTGTTAATACAGAGGGATCTGCCAGTGTCACTCATTATTCACTAGTTTTGGTTCCTTCTAGGCGTCGTTCACATTTACTGCTAATACCTTTCCTAAATTCCTTGTATCTGATTTCCTTTTTAAAAAAACGTGAAATAAGAATGTTTAATGTCACTCTACTTTTGCTTTCTCTTAATTTCCGACTTTGTTTAGTAAAACATTAGGTCCCTTTCGAGGTGGTCGTTTGGAGGACAGCTGTTTTTATGATAGTATTTTTATTTGTTACCATTTTGAGGTTATTCGACTGAAAATTTTACTGCTCCAAGATCAGCTTTTTCTCCGAATTTCAGTTTTGTTGGCAAAGTTTGCGGTAAGCTTTGAAAAGTAGTATACTAAATGACTATCTAATTATAAGATATGCCTTAAAATGCCAAGAGTAAATGATGAATATTGGGGAATCTTGACTATGTCTTATTTCCACGGCATGTACTTTTAAATGTGTTTAATTGTACACGTAGACCTCCAATTAATGACTACAGTAGATGTTATGTTATATATTCAGAAATGTAACTAAAGCAATTAAATAGTAGTAAACTCAAATGCAATATTTTGAGGTCACTGCTTTAAGGAAATAGTAAGAGAAATCCCAGAGGTAGTTACTTAGTTCAAATACAGTAAAGGAAAGATAATATATCTTCTTCATTTTAGGTGATGGAAGACGGGTGGATAATGCAGTATAGAGGAAAGTTAGGGAATTTTCCCTTCTGGGAAAGCTATAGGAATGTGGTATGTCTATGGATGGTGTAGAACAAGTGTAATCCTTTCTGAAAATGAGATACTAGATATTAGATTACATCTTGGGGAATCTTCCACGGGGTTGTATTACCATTGCATTGAGAACAAAGCTCTATCTGAGCACCTAATCTGTGTATCACAATTGATAGGGATTGTCAGCAATCTGAGGGGAGCTGCCTTGTTTCTGCATTCCCAATGCCAGTAGAGTGTCTTTTGTGGTTTATGTTTGATAATGATTGTTGCATGAATGATCTTTGCTTAATATCTAAGTTTTCTTGGATTCAACTCCTTCTAAATAAGAGTGACCTTTAAAGAGTTTGGTATATATTTTAATGTGGTTTATAGACCTGTAAATAAATAATTTAGTAATTACAAGACTAGACATGTAGAGGCTAGTTGGAAGGCTTGTGCAATAGTTTAGATTAAAAAGTGATGGGCTTCAGATGTTGGGAATACAGAAGTGGGTCTCAGCTCCAAAGATATATTTGGAATTAGAAACATTAGAATTTGGTAACTAATAGAGCAAGAGGGATCAGATGGTCCTAGGTGTCTGGCTTGTATAGCAAGAGAATATGGATAACATAAATCAAAACTAAAGATAACAGTGCGTGGGGGAAAGGTAATGAGTTTAGTTTTATATCTGTTGGCTTTGCACTACTTGGGAGGCAGTCAAGGGTAAGGTAGATGTCAAAGAGCCATTTGGAAATATGAATCTAGATTTCATGATAGAGGTCTGGGCTGAAGGTGATTTTAAAGATGAAGGAGGTGGCATTAGTACAGAAGAAAGAATACTCTGGGGCCAGACTTGCCTGGGTGTGAATCCTCTGCTCCCTCTTGTACTGTGTGGCCTGGAAAAGTCTCAATGCCTTTTCTTGGCCTCAGTTTTTCAGTAGTAATGGCTACCTTGCAAATTTGGTGCAGAGATTAGAGAAATGTATATAGAATATGTAGCACATTACTTGATAATAGAGTAGACACTATATCTCAGCGAGGTAGCTAGGGGACATAAATTATTTCAGCTTATTTTTTTTTCAGCTTATATTTCAGCTCTGTATCAGGTACTAGGAATATATGGGTAAATAAGATAGACATGTCCCCAAGAAACTGATAGTCTAAAGTCAAAGATGAGGCCACTTACTGTCAGTCATTTATTCATTTTATAAATATTTGAGTACCTACTATGTACTAGGCATTGTTATAGGTATTAGGAAAATGATGGAGCAATCTTTTTAGTAGAAGAAGAAAAATACAAAAATAAATAGACAGTGATAAGTGCTGGAAGAAATTAAAACGAATATGACAGACTGTGGGGCTACATTTGAGCAGAGATCTAGAAGAGTATTCTAGGCTCCAAGGTCAGGATGGGCTTGGATGTTATAGGAACAGAAAAGCGAGTATATGGTGAATGAGCCCAAGTGGGGTGGAAGATGATGTGGCTCACTGAAATTTTCAGTAAGGGTATGGTACCTGGTTTATATTTAGTGGTCCCTTTGACTGCTGTGTGAGGAATTGATTGTGGAGTAGAAAGAAGAGAAGCGAATAGACTGGTTGGCTTTTCAGTTGGGTAGGGTGGTAGTAGGGGAGACAGAAAGATGTGAGATGACTAAGGGTATGTTTTAGACATGTTTTACCCTTAGGAATGGGCTCCACTAGTAGATTTTTTTGGCACCATTGGTTTTTATTGAATTTAAATGGGTTCAAGGGGGCCTATTATTTTCAGTTGATCTTAGCCCTTAGAGTTCTGATATCTGATAGTATTTATGCCTTAGGCATTCAAGTTTGAGATTCCTGGTGTATAAGATACAAATTGCAGGTCAGATTCCAGGTCGGAATCTCAGATATGACTCACATGCAGAGCGGACAGAGGGTGAGGTGTAGAAGTATTAGTTTTGGATTCTTCTAAGACACTTAGCTGTGAAGGGAAGGTGAGAGGTGGTGGTAGGAAGTGCAAATGAAGGATGGGAACAAGTTTTCCACTTCCTCCATCCTAAAATTGAAGACTTTTGAACATATTTTTAGAAATGAAGAACTAGAAATTGAAGAGAAGGAAATGCTAGAGCATGATCTGAGTGGAGAGTGCTTATGTGATAGTTGGTCATAGTTTGAAAACATTTATTCATTCAGCAAATTTATTGAGGGTCTACTCTGTGCAAGGCACTGCTCTAGATAGGAATTCAGTGGTAAAACAGGCCAAGTCCCTGCCCTCATGGACCTTACATTCTAAAGGAAAAAAAAAAAAAAGACAAGGCAAGGAGATTGGAGTGCCATGCTACACTGTTTAGGTCTCTGAGGGAAGACCTGACCGATCAGTGGACATTTACAAAAAGATCTGAAAGAAGCAAAGGCACAAGATGTGAGGCTATTTGGGGCATCAGTGCTAGGCTGAGGTAAAAGCAAGGGCAAAGATTCTGATGCAGGAGCCTAGTGTGTTTCGGTGACAGTGGTGAGGTCATTGGCTGATATGGAATGATCAAGGGAGAAGAGTGGTAGGAAACAAAGTGAGAGATTATTTAGTCCCTGTTGGCCATTATAAGGACTGACATTACTCTGAATGAGATGGGAAGCCAGTGGAGGGCTTTAGCTGAGGAGTGATATTTGACCTATCTTACAGGGATAACTTTAGTGTGTGGAGAAGAGACTAAGGAAGAGTGGAGGCATGGAGATAGAAGGCTATTACAATGAGTATCCATGCGGGAGAGGAGGTGATGGCTTGACGAAGTGGAAGTACTAAGTAATGGCAGGTTCTGGTTATATTGTTATGGTACAGCCATTGGGGTTTGCTTAGGGATTGCATAAAGGGTGTGTGTGTGTGTGTGTATGTGTGAGTGGGAGTGAGGGGGGAACAGTCACTAATGATTAAGGTTTTTTGGTCTGAGCAACTAGAGAATGGAGTTCTCATTTTCTCTTGTGGGGAAGATTGAAGAGCAGGCTTTTCTTGAGGAGCTTGGAATGAAATGGAATCAAGATTCAGGTTTAGGTGCCTGTTAGATATCTAAGTGAAAATGTCAAGTAAGTAGTTGAATATCTGAGATTCTGGGGAGAGGCCCAGGCTGGAGATATAATTTCATATGGTATTTGAAACTTTGAAGGCAGTCACCAGATCTAGCCCTGAGGTCTAGGAGATAAGGAGGAACCAGCCAAGGAGAAGGAAAAGAAGCAGCTGATAAAGTTGGAGAACCCAGACAGTTGTGTCTTGGAGAGCAAGTGAAGAAAGTTTATTTCTGTGAGGGCATATGAATCTCATACTGTTAGGTTAAAGAAAATAAGGACTGAAAATTGACTATGGGATTATGGAGTTTGGCAACAGGGGTATCAGTGGTGATGTTGACAAGCCTTTTGGTGGAGTGGTGGGATGAAAACCAGCTTGGAGTGGGTTCAGGATGACAGGAGCGGAACTGGATGGCCAGCAGTGCTTCCTTTTGGGAGGAGTGTGTGCTGAAGGGAGCACAGATAGATATGGTAGCAGCAGTTGCAAGGGATAGCAGGGTATGAGATAGAGGAAGTCTTTTTTAAAAAATGGGAGAACTAACAGCATGCAGGTGGGAATGACTGCACAGAGAGAAGATGTGACATGTTTAAGAGAAGGGCCAGTTGCTAGAGTGATTATCATTGCATTGGTGAGAGGGGTTGGGATTAAATGCAAAGTGGAGAGATGGGCTTCTGAAAGGAACATGGATACTTCATCCATAATCAAATAAATTTTATAGGCTCTCTAGTTGTCCTAAAACCTTTTCTGCTTTATAGAGTAATTAAATTAGTCCTTGCACAGTCCTTCTTTGTTGTCCATCTTACCAATTGTGATAGCTCTTTAAATATCCTTCCAGGCTTTAAGCCTTGTCCCTTCCTCCGTAGGTTCATGGGCTGCAGAATACAGTCCCAGCTTCGTAATATACCACTCAGGCTTTTAGGATCTGGCTCCATGGTTTTATTCACCATGTTATTTTATACACCCATTGCCAAAATACATTGATTCACTTGCTATTGCCACTAGATACTAAGTATTTAGAGTGGATTTTGGAATTAGATCTAGGTTCGAATCTTACTAATTGTATATATAACCTTGGGTAAATTTAATTTAGTCCGTGAGTTAGTTTCTTCATTTGTAAAATGGGGATATACGAGTTAAGGAATTAGATATGCAAGAAATCTTTTCTTTCACCTTTGCTTATGTTTATGTCATCTTTAAAAGCCCCCCCCCCCCCACTCTCTCTTTTGCTCCTCTCCATGTAAGGACACAACAAGAAGGCAGACATCTACAAGCTAGGAAGAAAGCTCTCACTGGAAACCAACTGTGCTAGAACCTTTATCTTGGACTTCTAACATTCAGAACTATGAGAAAATAAATTTTCGTTTTAGCCAATAAAAAAGTTAAAAATAAATTAAAGCTCCCTCATCTTCAAGGTATAGGACCAATATCCTCTCATTTATTGAGACTTTCCTGATGTAATGGTTTTCTTTACTGAAATCCACACAGCCATTACATGATAAGCACTCTGAAATATTTTTGAGATTGAATAACATCTTCTGAGTACTGTGATCAAGGTCAAGTTGAATCAATGGCCAATGTGGGCCGGAGGTTCTTTATCAGTAGTACAGATTCTTGGACATTGCTTTCCAGACTTACTCTTTTGTATACCACTTTTACCATTTTTGCCTTGTCCATGTGCCAAATATACTTTATTTAACTTAGAATTTTTCTTTGAATGGACCCACTTTTTAAAACATTAACTCATCCTTAATAATAATCTCTGAAATTAGGGGCCGGATTTTGCTAATTCTTTTTTTTTCTCTTTCTTTCTTTTTTTTTTTTTTCCTATTCTAGGTTAGAATAAGCACCCAACTGGTAAACTTTTAACTACATCCTAAAGTCATCAGTGTTGTGTCTTCCTTGCTTCTTGACTGGGTCAGTTTGTGGTAATTCATATTACTTCCTACAGCAATCTAAAAGTAAATAAAGCTGTGTTGTATTTCACTGTTATGTTAATTGCAAGAAGATAGTTTGATTTTTATATTCTCAGCTATAAAGTAGCAAAGTATTTTGAGATTTTCATTACCTCAGGATGCTTGCTAATAGTATCCCCTCTTAGTGCTATTCCAAAAATACGATTTTTCCTAAGATTTATTAGTTTTCTAAGATTTACGATCTTATACTGTTAATCATTTAAAAAAGTTTTATAATAATATTTGATTTATAAAAACTTATTGTTGCAGTGAGATGGAAGATCTTCGAGGTATAGCTGAAGAGTCATTTCCGAACTTTTTAACCAATTCATTACTTGGTAATAGTGGGATTTTGGAAAATGACACGCTTTCTTCAAATCTTGGCTTGCCTGTTGCTGTTTCAACACTTGCTAGAAATGGATACAGCACTGATAACAGGTAAGAATTGCTTGAACAAATGATGATTTTAGATCCATAAAGCCTACAATATACTGAATTTTTCTGTAAAATTTCTCACTCAAGCTTGAGCTTTTGCTTTATCTGGCCATATATGTAAGATTAATGTGGAAAAAGATAAAACTGTCTTTTTCCCTATTCCATTTCCCTATCAGTTTTGGGTGGGTGGGTTTGAGATTGGGTACCAATGATCTTTTGATCTAATTATTTTTTCTGTCCTTTGTTTTGGCTTTGTATTAGTTCTGCCTTATTGGTGGCTGGTAATTTGAATTATGTCTCTAAGTATGTGTACAGTTGCATATGCTTAAATATCTAACTACTTATTCATCCTCCCAACCTAACATTTGCTAAAGAGCATTATCCCTAATTTTGGAATGAAGGGGTTAGATTAATCCTGTAGGATTACTGTGACTCTTGTTTAACACATACACACCCCATTGCTGATCCGTTTCAGTGCTCTGCACATAGGATGATATTTGAACACTAGGGCTCTATTTGTTTTACCACCTGGTGGTTCACAGTCATGCAGTTCTATGTCACAGTGAATTTTAAATGTTTATAATTTAATTATTAACAAACAGATTTTTTGTGTGTGTGTGTGTGCATGTGTAGGTATTCTGATATTCAGGCATCTTATTTAGTAGAAGAGAAGTTTTCAGTTCCATCTGAGTCATCTCTCAGTAGCCAGAGTGAAGCTGAACCAAGAAAAAAGTTACAGCTTAGCTTCCAGGGTGATGAGTAAGTTTGTATCTCCATTTTGCTTTTACTCTGTTAAAAGTGTGTCACTCTCAGTCTTGCAGAAAATGAAAATGCGATTGTGTCTCTGATTAAGTCTAATCATAAAAATCTTTAAGAGTTTTCTTTATATTTTTTATTTTTTTCAACAGCCATTAGAAATGACATTGCACATGTGATTCATAAAATATAAAAGAGTCTATAGCAAGCACAGCTTCTCATTCTGTATTATAAGTT